GAAGTTAATCTAACTCAAGTCACATTCAACCTATAAGACACAGGGACGTAAAAGAAACACAAAAACTACAATCATCTCCACTTACTTGATGTTCCACCTTTGTATCTCTTGCCAGAATTCCCACCCACTTGAGGAGCCGAGACTCTGGCCTGAAGGTCAGTCCGTGCAGTCCCGTTCATCAGGGCAGCAGAAGATGCTAGTTAAGAGAACCGGGCAAGGCCTAGTGGTAGATCCTGGATGAGCCCCCGAAATTGTTGTCCCAGAAAACTGGTTCTTCCCAGTGTGCAACTCTCAATAAACCACATACCCAGGTGGAGATTTGTAAAAGCTTTATTCTGCACGGAACAAAGGACACAGGGGGATCGTTCCCAGTAGGTCGCTGAAAAGACCACTTCTTTAGCAGTACAATTTTAATAGGTACTTTTCCATGAGCCCACCTAAAGCCATCCCCTCTTAAGGCATCCTAGAACCCGTTTTCTGGGACCACAGAATTCACAGCTAAATTTAGAAATAGATTAGTCATTGTGAAATCCTTCCTGCTATAAATTGTTCTGCTGAAAAAAGGGGATATCCTCATTTGCATTCATGTTCACACCGAAATTTCCATTACCACGCACTTATCATAAAATAAAAAACCTGTTGCCTTTTTCATCTATAGAAGTACTGACGACAGGACCAAGATTATTTCGTTTTTCTTTTCTCCCGCTTTTGGATGCATGCAAAATTGTACTTTGCTAATACAAAATGGATAATTCAGGATTTGAACTGCATGAAGATGGACCTCCAGGCAACTTGTCCAAGCCAGAAAAGATTAAGCAAGAATGTCATGTAAGTTGCAATAGTTTACAATATTTGTAAAATATTTAGAAAGCTACATTAGTTTTTCTTCATAGAAAAAAAATCTGCATTATACCATGAGTAGGGAACTATAAAATCTAGAGAATGCACAACTAGACATTATCTTTCCCCCCACCCCAATTTCTAGTTAATCCAGAGAAACTGTTCACTGGACCGAACTCTAAAAAGTAATATTTTTTTCATCCTACCGAAGAGGGCAGTAATTAGGAACAGACAAGTCTTCTGAGGTTGCTTTCAGTTTTTTTGAAAAACATGAGAAGTAATTTTCATAGTGTGAACATACATTTGTCCTGCACAGGGTATAATAGGCAATCATGCTATGCATTACAAACACAGATTCATGACTGAATTTGTCTTAAGTCACAAAGAACACATTGTTAGATCCATTTGAATAAAATTCATACACTGTAACTATGGTTAATGAAAACAGTAGGTATGATTAAGGAAAGTATGTTTGATGAAAACAATCATGATTTCCTACCATAGCCACATTCACATGACAAGACGATGGCAGGGAAACCTATTTTGCATGCCTCACACACACGAGTTGGCTCTTCCCACAGTAGCAGGAACATTTAGAGTGTCCCAGCAAGGCACTGAGTAAATATATTTGTTTACATATATTTATGTAATTTTCAACCTTTCTCTTACTATGGCGTTCAAACATTTTTCATAAATTATGAAGCTGGTTTGGTCTCAGTAACTATAATTAAAATAGGTCAACAGTCTCAGGCCAGGCAGATAATAAAACTGATTGGGCTAAGAGGGGAATAGAAAACTCTGGATATTTCAAAGTTAATATTAATTAACTAAATATTAACTTTTCTTCCACAGTAGAAGAAAAGAAAAAAGCAGGAGAGAATTAATCAGTGTTTGTTTTGGTATTAACTCAAACAATTTTATACGTTATTTAGAAAATTGAACCAGATGAATTAGGACAAGATAATTCAATTATGGAGTTGAACATCAAAGCTGAAAGGAAGAACCTTCCCTTCTTGAATAAAGCAATGGATTTGTTTCCTAAGCCCATCAGTCAATGTTATCTTTGATCATTGCAGCAACAAACTAAGCTGCCTGTTGCTTCACTGTTTTCTGGAGCTGCCAATTTTATAGAACATAGATTCATAGGGCTGTAATTGGAGGTCTTATAGCCCAACACCCTACTTAAGGCAGGAGATTTTATATCATCCCAATCAAATGATTGTCAAGTCTATTTTTGAAAACCTCCAGTGATGGAGCATCCTCTGGGAGGTACCATAGCTATTCTATTGATGAATTGTTCTCACTGTCAGGAAATTTCTCCTTATTTCTAGGTTGTAGCTCTCTTTAACAAGCTTCCACCCATTACTCTTTGTCCTGCCCTCAGGTGCCATGTAGAATAAAGGTTGAACTCTTCTTCTCTGAGACAGCCCCTCAAGTACTGGGTTATCATGTTCCTCCCCCCCTTTAAACTTTCTCTTTGCTAGACTAGACATACCTAGTTCCCTCAATCGTTCATCATACAATTTAGCCCCCAGACCTCCTTACCATTTTGTCGCTCTTCTCTGCGTATACTTTTTCCATCCAGGCATATCCACAGAGTATGGTCCAGAAAGTCAAGACAGCAGCCATGATGGTGTTGTCAAAGCTATGTCCATTTTCACATATATCATTTTTGCTAAAGAATTTTTATTACAAATTTCAAAGCTACAGAAAAATAAAAAGAATGTAGAAAAGAGAAAAATATATGTATAACAAGAAAAATAGGAAAGATAGAAGAAAAAGTGAACAACCAGGTCCAGAAAAGAGAAAGGAAAAAAGAAGTATTTAAAGAAGTGACTTCTTTGCAGCAGTAAAAAACATAAGATGGTTTCTTCTCTCCCAGTTTGCATAGTTCCCGTCTACCCATATGCAGCTTTTTAATCGGTAAATCCAGAGATCGCTGGTTCATTTGTATCCATGTTCAGGAAAAAGTCCATAAAGGGTTTCCAGTCTTTTTACAAATGTAGTTATTGCTTCTTCCTTAATCAGACAAGTCGATTTAGGCATTTTGGCAAGTTCTACCACCTTCACGATCCATTCCACATATAAGTGTGTGACCATGATTAAAGTCCTGTCAGGTCTGTCTACAGTTCTGGCTTTCCAGGTGTTGTCTCCAGGGACAGTGAACTATTCTACATCCTTCCTTTTCTCCTATGTTGAATTTTTCAGAAAATTCTTACTTCCTGCAAAATAAAAAATGCTGAGAACAAAACCTGCCACTTTTACAAGAAGTAAAGTCTCCCATGTACCTTCAAGTCAGGGTTGATTTCTGACAACTGCCTGGACAAGTCCCTGCAGTTTTCTTGGCAAGATTTTTTGGAAGTGATTTTTTTTAATTGTCTCCTTCCAAGGATGAGATAGAGTGATTGACCCAAGGACGCTCAGCTGTTTTGTGTCTAAGGCAGGGTGAGAACTTACAATCTTGCAGTTTTCAGCCTGATGCCTTAACCACTACTCCAAATGGATCTTAATTTTAGGTAGTGATGTTTCAAACATCACTTCCCTTCAGACATCTGAATTTACTGTTAAATCAGTGATGGTGGATGATTTGATACAGTCAGGTATGTTTTATCCAAAAGCTGAATGATAACTCGCTCTAAGATGATGTGGATGGTACAGCTATGCAGACATAGCAGGAATATAGCAATATTGTTGTGACCCAGTTTTGTAATTCTTCCTTTTTCTTCCTTTCTGCCCTCAAGGTGAAAAAGAGCCACTGGTCTCTCCTCCATGTCTTTCTGGTTTGTCTGTTGGCCTGTGCAATAACCACAATGGTGGGGGTGTTGATTCTGTCTGTGATTTATGCCAGCACCCCTGACTTTAAAAGACAACAGCATAAAGTGAATCTAGAAAACCATGGATCAGCTTCCCAGAAAATTCCAATAACATCTGCCTACAAAAGCCAGGTAGACCTCAAGTTCCAGTTTCTCCACCGTCATACTAAATCCAAGGTATAACTAAAACATTTCTTCCATATTTCTTTTGCACAGGACAAATATTTGGGAATTTTAATTTTTAAGGGTTACACTGCTAATCTTTGGTGGAACTCAAAGAATAGATAGGTTCTTTAGCCAAGGCCTAGAGAAACTGGGTAGCAAAAACTCATGGGTTAAAGTTGGGGCCATCACTGATCTGTAGGGTCCCTTTGTGCAAAAAGTTTTTTTTAACCACCAGAACTGAATGAATGAACTGAAGAAGCTTCCTGAATGAGAAGCAAAACGTTTCAAAGAAAAAAAACAACAACCAAGAAAGTCCAATTGCCTTTTGGAAAAGCATCTTTGGGACAACCATGACCTGGATGATTGAGAATCTCCATAGACATTTTGCCACCCGAGCATCAAGTCATGTCAGGGGGAATCTGTGGCTTCCTAGTTGTTCATTCTCCCTTTTTATTCTACAGCACTTGTGCAGACATGTGGAACAGTAACTGCATGGGCTTCTTCCCCCCTCCTGGCACCTGCAATGGGGCATTAGACTACTATCATTCCCATAATTTGGTGTTCCCTATGTCATGCATCTTTGTGCTGTGCAGAACTGTCACACCTGCTTCTGGTAGCCCTGGGTGAAGGATCAATTCTGGATTTGTGCTTTATTGATGGACTCTCTAGTGTTGTGTTTCTCAACCTTGGCAGTTTGGGGATGTGTGGACTTCAACTTCCAGAATCCCATAACCAGCCACGTTGGTGAGGAAATTCTGGGAGCTGAAGTCCACACATCGTCAAGTTGCAAAGTTGAGAAACACTGTTCTAGTAAAATGTTCATTGACTATTTCACAAATTTCAAACCTTAGTGAACTTTATCTGGAAGTGAATGCAAGCCTCTTCTTTTCCATTGCTTTTTTTTCTGGGTTATAGCCATAGGCAAATGGCTGCTTCAGGCTACCTAAAACCACAAAGATCTAAAGAATGTCACACTGTGGATCAATTTGTTCAGATTCAATGATTAAAACGTTTGTTTCAATAGTTGAGAAATTAAACAGATATTATCTGATTAATTGGTATTTATCCACCCCAAGTAAATATCTTTTTATATCAAGAGGGAGCCAATTGTCACTGGATTTTTAAAGCTATTTATGAACTGTATCAAAACCATTAATATTGTCGTGCCTCTTCAACATCCCAGATCCACCAGTTTCCAGGAGGTGTTATTCAATGGTCAAGATTTCGCAGAAATGCTGATGAATACCAGAACAAGGAAGAAATGGCGTTTGGAACAAGTATCAATGCTCAGCGTTCCAAGATCATGTTTGGGACTCTGCTGATCAAAAGCAAAGGGTTACGTGCTCCACACTGGCATTTCAATGCCAACGAACAGGGTTACCTCTTAAAGGTAATATTGAAAGTAGTGCTTTAATTTACCCAATTATTTTTAAACAACTGGAGAGGGGGCCAAAGAATATAAAAGTAACTAGTAGTGGAGGAGTGGAAGAAAAGAGCTTACAGGTAGTCCTCAATTTATGATCACAATTGAGCCCAAAAGTTCCGTTGCTAAGCAAGACATTTGTTAAGTGAGCTTTGTCCCATTTTATGATCTTTTTTGCCACAGCTGTTAAGTGAATCACTGCAGTTGTTAAGTTAATAATATGGTTGTTAAGTGAATTTGGCTTCCCCATTGACTTTACTTGTCAGAAGGTGGTCAATGACTGCAACTATCACAAATATGAGTCAGTTGCCAAGTATCTGAATTTTGATCATGTGTCCATGGAGGTGCTGCAATGGTCATAAGTGTGAAAAATGGTTGTGTTACTTTTTTCAGTGTGGTTGTAACTTCGAACAGTCACTAAATGAATGGTTGTAAGTTGAGGATTACCTGTATTGAAACACCTGTGCATGCACATTGGCCACTTAATCCCTTCCATTCCCCCAACCCACCTCAAACAAACAGGGCAAAATCCAGTAGCAGAGGTTAGCTAGGCAGGCAGCATTTCCTCCAAGAGCCCTATGAAATAATTCTTGGGAGGGAAATCTGAATCTGTGACACTCCTTAACCAAGATATGTCTGAAAAGCATTCAACAGCACTTTGGTAAATAATCTACCAGGTTGTGGGAACCAAGGATAAGTAATGGGACAACTTACCATCAAGACAAGAACTTGAAAGCCTGTAAGAATCTTTGGTGGAATGTAGTGAAGAGGTGGTTTCTGAGGAGTAAAGGGCAACACAGCCCAGAGGTAACACAGCCCAGATATCATGTGCGTGAGAGAGAGGTTGAAAACAGCTCCTCCCTAATTGTTATTGTAGATGCAGATAATAGAATCCTCAGCCTGGTAAGATATTGTCTGTAGGTGGGAAACCATAAAGAACTCAGCTTGGAAGAATCATCAAGTGTCATTCTTGCACCTGACACTGGGCGAAGAAAGCATAAACATTCAGACTTGCAAGATTGTGGCTATAACCATGTAATAAAAGTAGCATCAACGTTCCTAAGTCTGATTTCCTAGTCTGGTCTACACTGAAAGCTGACTTCAATCTTGCAAATCTGAATATGCCTCCCCCATCCCTCCTTTTATTTCCATGAGAACTAAGAAAGGTTCCATCAGAGATGCTTTCTTGACATTGCTCCAGATTCCCTTTATCTGACCAAGGCCTTGGTTGCAGCTCTTCCACCTGATCCCCAAGGTTGTTCCTACTGCCCTTTACACATGGTGACCTTTTTATGGCCATATAAATACATGTTTATCCAGATCATAAATTTGGTGCTGATACAGTTCAAGCCAAATAGTTTCAGACTATTAGTTTCATCATTCGCTGGGGTATTCTCTCCCCACATGATTTTCTGGTCAATTGTATTATATTGTTTTGTTGGTGATGTGTTTCAGGGAACTGCATGGATTGGAGTTGTTGATGCTGGTGGAGATACAATATCTACGTACAATGTCACGGCAGGACAGATTATTTTCTTCCCTCGAAATACCTTGCATTGGGTCAAAAATGTTGGTACAGAAGAGTGTTTGTTCTTGCTGTTTTTTACAACTCATGAGGAGCTTCAGACTCTAGACCTTGACGATACATTTTTCTTGACACCCAAAGACATTGACGCAAGATCTCTAAAGGTCTGTACAACAGGAATTCCAAATCCTAATTCTTTGCAAATCCACTATCATTTTGACTGCCATTCTGCATTTGTGCTTGGCCATCCATCATAATAGTCTGCTTCCTGGTTACCCATACATTGCCAAATGCAAATATCTTTCTGTGTAAGGTATAAAATAAGCAAAAAGACTTCGGCTGAAGCTAACCTTCAACACTTTTCTTCATGTCTTCCCTTCAAAAGGAGAAACCTTTAAAATATTTTAACAATCTTTGTAAGAGAAGGAGTGGCAGAACCTGGGGATGGAGTCAAAAGAGGAATCAGCCTAGTCTCTAAAAAGCCACAAATGGACTAAGTCCAACCCCTGTTGAATTCTGTTGACTCTCGTCTAGTGCCAAAATAATGCTAACAGTTAGTCAAGTAGATTCCTGTGCACAGGCATGAGTAGGAATAAATCATTTTAATTGGAAGCCCCAAAGATGCTTTTTCAAGAAGCAACTGGACTTTCTTGTTTTTCTTTGAAGACATTTTGCTTCTCATCCAAGAAGCTTATTCAGCTCTGACTGAAGAATTCAGCCTCACCATCCAGTCAGAGCTGAAGAAGCTTCTTGAATGAGAAGCAAAACATTTTTAAACAACAACAACAACCAAGAAAATCCAGTTGCCTTTTGGAAAAGCATCTTTGGGACAACCATGACCTGGATGACTGAGACTCTCCACAGACATTTTAATTGGAACTTCACATGTGGTCTTGGTCTTTGCCACCTAACAATCTTCTGCATTTGGCTCATTACCACTCACTTCTTTGTAAGCTAAAATTAACTGTATTGGATGAAGTCATTGCCATTCCTTCCTGGATCCACTAAATACAATATTTTCTTGTGTTTTCTAGCCTCAGGGCGGTATAGATTTCATCCGGTCATTCCAGAAGCAAGCAGAAGACCAGGCCATCAATCTTCCACCCAACCTAGCAGAGCTTGTTCAGAATGCCAACTATAACCAGTCTGCAGATAGGCTTGTATGGCGGTACTTCTTTGACCTAAAAGGTACCACAGAACAAGCTAGGGGGACATGCAGAAGAGAACCACTTTTGGCTGATAAGACTTGTGGGCTTTTAATGCAACAATGGGGTGGTGACCTCATCACATTTTCATGTGTTATATTTTCAGTCAGGTATACAAATGCTTACCCAGGAAATAATAAAGGAGTATGGTGGAATGTAGGTCCAGAAGGTTCTTTCCCAGGGAGAAAAGAGACAATAAACTTGGAATCTTTGGTAGGCAGGGAAAGGGGGAGGGTGGACCCCACCCCCCACCCCCAAGCAGTTCACAGGGTACTTACTGTATATCTAATAGTCATGCAGTTAAGTGTTTAGTCTGGCAAGATTTCTGCCTATAGGCAAGCAATAATAAAAAAACTATCCTGAAGTAACTGATCTTATCATTCTTGGTTTCTAACTATATGGGTCAACAGCCTGAGAGAGACTGCCTTTTCCCATATAAGTATGCAACAGTTGCAATCATCATCAGAAACTCTCTTGGTTGTGTAACATCCTGCAAGTAGTATTTTGGCATTGGCTAAGAAGATCTTTTCTTGCTTGCTACAATAAAGTATGCACTTATATTGCTACAGAATAATAGAATAACAGAGTTGGAAGGGATCTTAGAGGTCTTCCACTCCAATCTGCTGCTCAGGCAGAAAATATACCATCAGGCAAATGGTTGTCCAATCTCTTCTTAAAAACCTACAGTGTTGGAGCACCCACAATTTCTGAAGACAAATCATTCTACAGATTAATTGTTCTCACTGTCAGGAAATTTCTTCTTAGTTCTAGGTTGGTTCTCTCCTTGATTAGTTTCCATCCATTGCTTTTTGTTCTGCCTTTAGTTGCTTTGGAGAATAGGTTGCAACATCACCCCCACCCCCGGATCAAGTCCATGTTGAAACTATTTCTATTCATTGTGACATTTGATATTTTTGCATTATTTAGGTCCTAGATGTTTGCAAAAAAAAAAAAAAGTAAACATCTTTTGTGCATGTATGTATGTTGATACTGGTACTGAAGACATGATAGATCCAAATACTATAATTCTGCTCTCTGACAAAAAAAAACTGAAACAAGATCAAGAGGCCTTCCTTATTTTTAAGTTAAATAAATCCAACACTTTTAAAATATAAGTGTATAGTCATATCCTTGTTAACCATATAGTTTTTTCTATACCATTTGAACTAGCTATGAAAAAGAAGAAAAAATTCATACTAAAATGTTATAATATATTAGTACATCAGTGTTAAATAAAGTAAAATATGTTTTTACCATCAGATCAGCATCAATTACACAATTCTTTCTCAACAATCTCAGGACATTATTTTGAGAAAATATTTCTCCATTCCTAGCAAGCTGCCTCTCCCCATTGTTATTGACCAATGGACCTCAGCAGAGTTAACACGCTATTGGTAGCACGAGCTGATGTTAAATCATCTTGCAGAGAAACTATCTTTATTGCTGTTAATCATCAACATCAAATTGATGGCACATAATCAGTCAATCAATCAAAACTATGCCTGCCTGCAGGCAGAAAAGGTTTTGGGATCACTGTAGCATACATATATTAAAAGTTTGGCATGGCTTCTACACAATGTGAAAAACATGTGCTCTACATCAGCTTTACATTAATCAAAAATAATACTACATAATGGAGCCAATATGAAACCTTTGAGCATTACTCATGAGCCTACCAATTTATATTCTCAATTCAGGATCCTCCAAATTCCGGTTTCCAGGGGGAGTCATCCAGTGGGCTCGGTATGTAAAAGATGGAAAAGGCTTAAAACCCAATGAAAATTTTTACAGTGAATTTCTCCATTCGGTAAGTATGCTGGTAAAAATTACTATCTTGCTTTGGAGGCTAGTTAGGGCAGTCATTATCTTATTCAAATTTTATTTTGGAAGTGGGAGGAGGTGTCATTAAAAATTCCTATAAAATATGAGTTTATATATGTATCCATTTGCAATATTGAAAATTATTCCAATCTTCCACAATTTGTGGACTAAATAAATAATTCACTCAAGACTCTCTGTAGATAGTATTAAAACATCCATGGTAAATACAATTATCCACAATAAATTAAAATTTAAAAGCAAACAAGGATAGAAAGGATGAGGTCATAATTTCTCCATTGCTACCATTGTATATATGCGAGGTTCGTTTCTTCTTTTCAGAAGGAGGATGCTCTTACTTTAGCAACACTCCAGATCTTCAGCAATGGTTTACGACAACCTCATTTCCATTTCAATGCCAATGAAATGGGCTATGTCATCAGCGGCTGCGGAAAGGTAAGTGATTTAATTTTAACCACTGTGATGCATGCCAACATTAAGAATTCTGGGAATTATACTTGACAAGCAACAAAGATGATTAGGAGACTGGAGGCTAAAACATATAAAGAACAGTTGCTGGAATTGGGTATGTTTAGTGTTGGAAGAAAAGTCTTCATCGTGGTTCAGTCCAAGCCAGGGATAAACAACATGGCGACTGCTTTAGAAAGAAGGTTGCACTTTATTGAAGAGGAGAGCAATTATGGACAATAGAGCTGTCAGGAGAACTACTAGAGTCTGGGAGACAAAAAATGGAAGGAGAAATTGAGGGAGAAGAAAAGTGGAAGCTTCTTAACAAGTATAAATGGGCAAAACTCTCCCCCCCCCCCCGCAAAGCACCTTACTCAATTTGTTTTTCCCAAGTGACTTATGCCTGATTTTATGATCTTTTTGACATGGTAGTTAAGCAAATCTGGTTCCCTCCCCCATTGATTTAGCTTGTCAGAAGCTGACTGGGAAGGTTGTTAAGTGAAGCCATAATCCAGGGATACTTCAAGCATTGTAAATACATGACAGTTACCAAGCATCAGAATTTCAATCATATGACCCTGGAGAGGAGAGACTGTGACTGTCATAAGTATGAGGACCAGTTGTAAGTCTCTTTTTTCAGTGCCATTGTAACTCTGAATGGTCACTAAATAAATGGTTTAAGTTAAGGACTGCCTGTTGAGTCAAATGAAACCAAGATTTTGGATATGCAAGTATTAATTTGTTGTGGTGCATCTTATTTGCAGGTGGGTGTTATTGTTTCATCTACTCTTTCTACTGACTTTAGCATTGATGTTGGAGATGTTGTGTTCTTCCCAGTTGGAACCCAACACTACATCAAGAGCACCTGTGATGAGGACTTGCTTCTCATTTTGGCATTCAGCACCAACAACCAGGTGAGACATCTATTTGAATTCCTAGAAATTTTGCTATACATGCCAGCAGCGACCTACCATTTCATTAGACCTTTAAGTTATTATGAACCAAATGCAAGTGTTAAATGCTTTGAAGATTAAAATAAAAAAGTAACTGTATATTATGATGCTTTGTATATATATATTGTATATATGATACTAACTATTTAAATTTATTATAAAGTACTGTAATTGCTCTGTGCCCTTATCCATGATGCTGAACTTACACTGGTTTCCTATGGCAAGTTTTAAGTTTTGCTATTATCCCATGAAGTCCTAAATAACTACCAAATGTCTGAGAAAACAGCTTCTCCTGTACAGAGCTGCCTTTCAGCATTGATTGAATAATGATTGATTGAACCATTCTGTGTTTCTTATTAAGAGCTCTGGTGGTGCAATGGTTAGAATACAGTATTGCAGGCAAACTCTGCCCACCGCCTAGAGTTCAATCCTGATGGGGGTCAAGGTTGACTCAGCCTTCCATCCTTCTGAGGTTGGTAAAATGAGGAATCAGATTGTTCAGGGCAATATGCTGATATTGTCAACTGCCCAGAGAGTGCTGTAAAGCACTATGGAGTGATATATAAATCTAGGTGCTATTGCTATTTGTCTGGATTTAGGAGGATGTTTCAGATTCAATTCCAAAACTATCAAACCTCACCTTTGGGCACAGCAGTAAATCAGCAGTCTCCAAACACTTAAACCTTCGCTCACCTTCTCAAACTAGACTAGATCTTTATGGGGGACAAAAATGAAGTCTCACATAAAAAAGTTGATTGTCCACTGCAGTGTAAAATGTCAGAGATTTCTATATCTTCTCAAGGAATTAAATTTTAGGCTTCTTCTTCCTGCTGTCCTGACTTAACACAAAGGAGGTGAGTCACTTTGTAGCCTTGGGTATCTGTGATAGGGTTATTTAATGGTATATCCCTCTCCCTTGCCAAAGAAGGCTGGTGAAGAGCCAGACCTTCACAACTCTTATAAGAAACACCAGAGTGGGAGCCATCCAGATCGTGGAGAGAATCTCATACCAGAGGCAGGCACAGCTTCTCATAATATTACATAATATTGCATGTTATTATTCACATGTTCACATAATATTACCTCAATAGTGTATAAACATTGACACATACTCTGATATCTCCAATCCATATGTTATTTGTTTGTTTGTTTGTTTTGGCAGCTGCAAACTCTAGATATGGATGACTATTTCCATGCAACAGCAGACCATATATTAGCCCAGCTGTTCTTCAAAAAGCAAGCTGAATTTAAGAAGATCCCAAGGTTCAAAGAGGATCAGGCAATTAATCTACCATAGCAGCTTATTTTTATTCCATGTTTTAGATTTTTATTCTAATATATAAGCTACCTAGAGTTGCCTTTGCAACTGAGGGGATACATCAAATGATTAATAAAAAAATCAACAACAATAAAAGGGCATCTCTATTAATTCTTTTTTTAAGAATGGCAATGCAGCCTGCCACTTTATAATCTCTTGGTTGAGTTTTATAATATACTTGATATAAAATAATTGAACAATCAATATGGGGATCCTATCTTCATTTGCACCAGCATAATCTCTATGTTCAGGCTATAACGGAAGGCATAAGAGCCTTCAATTATAGTTGCCAATCTCATAGAGTTCCAGAACATCTCAGCATCTCAATAATCTTGAAAAAAAAAAAGCTAAACAAGCTTACTTAGTGTTTCTGTGAACACCTCCTGGAAATTCTAGGGCAGTAGGCTAAACTTGATAGCCAGTTAAATATTCTGGGATATGGCATTAGCAAATTATTTTCTTATTGTTGCTGAGAAAGTTACATAAGTATATCCATAAAATTACCTGCAGTTAAGCTTGACTTAGGACCTTTCTCTCCTTAGAAGACAATAGGCACACATTATCTGTGACTTGCTATTGGTCATTCTCCCAGTGCTATAATAGATTCACTTTTTAAACCTTCTACGGTTAAGCTATCCCTGTGCATTTTAAAGCATCTTTTGGTCCTCAGATCCAAAGCATTGCAAAGCATAACTATATGTATGGATATATGGTTATATTATACTTACCACACACAAACACACACATACACAAGTATCTATGTATGCTTTTTTTGTATACATATAAGGAAATACACGTTACCATAGTGTTAATCCTAGACACTGAATTCAGACTTAGCTGTTTCTTCTAAAAGTCAACAGGAAGTTGGCTTCTTGTGGAGTTGCTCAATTCATGTGTGGTAAAATGTTTATCAGTTTGAACTATACTGACAGTGCTATTGATTAATCTCTGGAAAGTACAGAACAAGATACTTTCCAGCAGATGTCTCCCTTTAGCTGCTTTTTAAAAATATATTGTTTAACTTAATGCTTTGCTATATTTTTTTTCTAAAAAAAACTGTGCTAGCTCAAATGATATGTTAAGTCATTTGGATACACTCACCCACCACTCAGAAAGCAAAACACCAAATATTGTCCCTATTCTCAAGTAGCTCAACATGGACAACTGTTAATACTTAGAAAATGATCATTGGGGAAACTTTATAATAATAATGAATTGGCCATGGCAAGTTAGCTGCAGCAAGTTGTCCCTGTGGCTGTGGCAAGTTGGCCATGGCAAGTTGGCAGCAATGAGTTGGCCATGGCAAATTGGCTGCAGCAAGTTGGCTGCAGCAAGTTGTCCCTTCAGTGAGGTGGCTGTGGCAAGTTGGCCATGGCAAATTGGCAGCAATGAGTTGGCCATGGCAAGTTGGCTGCAGCAAGTTGGCTGCAGCAAGTTGTCCCTTCAGTGAGGTGGCCGTGGCGAGTTGGCCATGGGAAGTTGGCAGCAGCAAGTTAGCCCATTCCAAAGCTAATTGCTTTAATTCAGGGGTTCCCAACTGGGGGTGCGAGACGATGTTCCAGGGGATGCAAAAACTTGGGTTTTCAAAATTATAGTGTATGTGCATAATTCATTGCCATTATTTTGAATTTTTGTAAGGGGTGTGAGACTATATCAGAAGCGTTCTAGGGGTGCGGGGTATAGAAAAGTTTGGGAGCCACTACTTTAATTAAAGACAAGAACTTATCCACTTGGAAACTGTTTCTGGACTCTATGAGCAAAACAGAAAAAGATGAAGATTTGATTTTAGCTTTTGATAAGTAGACTGAAACTGTGGCTATAGAAATGGTTTGTGTTTATTAGAAATGTAAAGCCAAAAGTTGTGATTGTAACTTTTTCGTACTCTTCTGCACTGAAAAAAGTCAGAAATCATTGTTTCCCCCCTTTTTTTGTTTCTCTATCTTTGTACTCTTTCCCCTTTCTCTCCTCCCTTTCTTTTCTGATTTTTTGCTTCTATTTGTTTTTATACTATAATAAACTTTAATAAATACCTTAAAAACATCATTCGTCCTTGACATTCAGGGAAGAGACTGCTAAAGGCACAGATGATGCAGCTTTTCCCACCAAAGGACACAAGGATGAAGCAGACACTTATTCGCTTGCTTTTTGGTTTATGAAAATATTTGATTTTAATCCACTCGAGTGTGCTTAAACCAGTGAATAGCTAGCAGCAGACATATACAGATATTTTTTTAAAATGTAAGCAAATAACTAGCCCAGTGATGGCGAACTTTTTAGAGACTGAGTGCCCAAACTGCAACCCAAAACCCACTTATTTATTGCCGGGTGCCAGGTGGGCGTGGCCCACTGGGTGGGCATGGCTGTGGTGGTCATGGCAGATTTGGTGGGTGTGGACAAGGTGGGCGTGATCATCTCGATGTTGCTCATGGGGAGGGACGTCTGTGGGGGCCGGGCAGGGTTGGGGAGATCCAGGGGGTCTCTGGCAGGTGGGGCGGTGGGCAGGAGGCTCGTCCTTCTGGGTGAGGCGAGGCAAGGCAAGGCAGGGCGGGGGTGGCATTGTCGCAGGGCAAGGTGAGGCAGGGGCCGGGGCGGCTGCTGCCTGACACCATCGGCCCTTGCACACAGAGGCCAGCGAGCGCATGGGTGCTGGGATGCATCCAGCCACGTGGGACCTCGGTGAGTTAGCAGGCGGCTGGTTGAAGAGGGATGGTTGCCATCTCCGGGGCATGGCGCGCGTGCCCACAGAGAAGGTTCTGAGTGCCGCCTCTGGCACGCGTGCCATAGGTTTGCCACCACTGAACTAGCCCATAACCATCAAAGAGTGGCAATAATAAAAAGACAAGGAGCAACAGAGAGGAAACTTGGGAAGCAAATTATTTGTACAATTATAAGTCATTTTGTGGTTTGTTTGCTTTTGGCTCAACAAGATAACTGAATTCTGGTTTGCGGTTTAGCACAAAGACCACACTTTTTCTTTTTTTTTTCAGTATTTATTCCCACCCAACAGAAGGTTATGGTATGTTTATGACATGATGATATCAAATGGGGTCATTTAGGCCCAGTAGGATAATTTTTGAGGATTTAAAAAAATAAACCTGGTACAGACTTACAAACACATTTGAGCCCAAAATTTCTGTTGCTAAGTGACACAGTTGTTAAGTGATTTTTGCCCCATTTTGTGAACTTTCTTGCCACAGTCGTTAAGTGGAATACTGCAATTGTTAAATGACTAACACGGTTGTTAAGTGAATCTGGCTTCCCCATTGATTTTGCTTGTCAGAAGGTCACAAAAGGTGATCACATGACCCTGGACCTCTGCAACAGTCATTAATATGAGTCAGTTGCCAAGCGCCCAAATTTTGATGGGGAGGCTGCAGTGGTTATAAGTGTGAAAAACGGATCAATAAAACTTCATCCTGTTTTATTGATCCTCTTTATGTATTTACCCCATCCTGATTTATTTATTTGTCTGGGTTTTTTTTATATCCCACTTTTATTTAACTCAAGGCAGCAAATACATTCAACACACCCTCCTCCTCTTATTTTTCCCACAACAACAACCTTTTGAGGTGGGCTGGGCTGAGAGAGAATGACTAGGCTTTCATGGATAAGGCAGGAAATGAACTCTCGTCTCCAGCTTTCTAACCTGGTGCCTTAACCACTAGACCAAACTGACATATTTATTTAGAACAGAATAGAGCTGGAAGGGACCTTAGAGGTCTTCTAGTCCAGTCCCTTGCTCAATCAGGAGAACCTATACCATTTCAGTTTCTTCTTAAAAACCTCCAGTGATGGAGCGCCCATGATTTCTGAAGGCAAGCTGTTCCACTGGTTAATTGTCCTCACTGTTAGGAAGTTTCTCCTTAATTCCAGGTTGCTTCTCTCTTTGATCAGTTTCCAATCATTGTTTCTTGTCCTGCCCTCTTGTGCTTTGGACAATAATGTGATCCCCTCTTCTTGGTGGCAGCCCCTCAAATATTGGAATACTGCTATCATGTCGCCCCTGTTTCTTCTTTTCTTTAGACTAGCCCGGGGGTCTTCAAACTTGGCCCTTTTATGACTTGTGGACTTCAACAAGTTTGAAGATCCCTGGACTAGCCAAACCCAAGTCCTGCAGCCGTTCTTCATATGTTTTAGTCTCCAGGCCTTGGATTATCTTAGTTGCTCTTCTCCGAACTTTTTCCAAAGTCTCAACATCTTTTTTGTAGTAGGGTGACCAAAATTGGTTGCAGTATTCCAGGTGTGGTTTTACTAGAGTTTTATAAAGTTGTACTAATACTTCACGCAATCTTAATTCTATGCCTCTGTTTATACAACCCAGGATTGTATTAGCTTTTTTGGCTCCTGCTGCACACTGCTGGCTCATATTCAAGTCATCATCCAATAGGACTCCAAGGTCCCTCTCACAGTTACTGTTTTTGAACTTAATCTGTACTTATACTTTTGATTTTTCTTGCCTAAATGTAAAACTTTGCTTTTTTCCACATTGAAACTCATTTTGTTGGATAGGGCCCATTGTTCAAGTTTGTCAAGATCTTTTTGGATCCCAAGTTTGTGTTCTGAGGTGTTGGCTATTCCTGCCAGTTTAGTATCATCCACAAATTTGATGAGTTCCCCTTCTATTCCCTCATCTAAGTCATTTATGAAGATATTGATGAGTACTGGGCCTAAGACGGAACCTTGTGGTACCCCACTGCTTACTTCTCTCCATGTGGATGTAGAGTACACATTGAGTACGGTTTGCCAGCCAGCTACAAATCCATCTGGTGGTGATGTTGTCTATTCCACCTTTTTCTAGCTTACCAAGCAGTAGGTTGTGGTCTACTTTGTCAAATGCTTTACTGAAATCTAAGTATACTACGTCCACAGTATTTATTTATTATTGAGAAACAGGTTAAGGATGTTTGATGAAAGGAATATAAGAAGATGTTGTACATGTAGTCCTTGACTTATGACCATAATTGAGCCTGGAATTATAG